TGGGAACTAGATAGACCCCAGCTGCTCCTACTCCAACAGGGGCGGAGGGAGGGAGTGTGACGACCAGATAGGGAGGGGGCCAGCGCCCCCCTCCCCCCAAAAAACTCCCCTGTGTCAACCCATGTCCCCTGCAAAACTAGCCCCGCCTCTATGGATGGAGAATAGGGCTGTTCCTCAGAACCGCCACAGGCCCTGACCAAAGCTGGGGCAGAGGAAGAAAAGAAAGCTCCACAGGACCTGGTTGCTGGAAGTTGGGGTGGAAACTGGATTAAGGGCTATTTTTCCTGCTAAACTCCACCCACCAGCCCCACTAAGCACTTGGCACCACACACACACACACACACACACACACACACACACACACACACAGCTCCTGCAGGGTTTAGGAGTTTGTGTGGGTGGATGGATGGGTGGGAGGAAACTTAGTTAATGCTTCATACAAAATTGAGCAAATGGAGAGTTGTTCCCAAGCAGGCTTCCTGTAACAAGGGACTTGGAGCAAAATTGACAGGAGCAGACCCTTGGGGGGGAGCTTTTGATCTAGGAGAGGGTCTCCTAAACAGCCTCCCGCAGCCTCGTTTTTCCTCTCTAGCAGAGGTGGGTATCTCCGAACAGGCCTAGGGGCCCAGCACCATGGCCACGCTGAGCGTCAAGCCCAGTCAGCGCTTCCAGTTGCAGGACTGGCACACCAACAACTACCTGTTGTCCACCAATGCTGAGCTGCAACGAGATGCATCACACCAGATCCGCCAGGAGGCCCGGGTCCTCCGCAATGAGAGCAACAACCAGGTTGAGAGCAGGAGCTCAGGTGGGCAGAGGGATAGTCCCTAACCCCAAACACCCTCTTGATCTGGCTCTGTCTCTTTCAGACCATTTGGGATGAACATGACAATAGGACTCGATTGGCAGAGAGGATTGACACAGTCAACCGGTGGAAGGAGATGCTGGACAAGTGTCTGACGGATTTAGATGCTGAGATCGATGCCCTGACACAGGCAGGGAGCTAGGGCAGGGTGCCAGGAGACCCTGCTGCAAGGACCTCCCCTCCCTCCCCACTTTGAGGTCGAGGAACCCTTGTTGGGGTATTTGGTGGCATGCCCATCTGAGTCACTCACTGGCCCCTCTGTCAAAGTGGGGCCATTCCCAGTGAATGGCCCACCAGCCTCCTGTGCCTTCTCTTTCCTAGATGAAGGAGTCAGCAGAGCAAAACCTGCAGGCCAAGAACCTGCCTCTGGATGTGGCAATTGAGTGCCTGACCCTGCGGGACAGTCGTCGTGACATTGATGTGGTGAGGGACCCTGTGGAGGAAGAGCTGCACAAAGAGGTGGAGGTCATTGATGCCACCAAGAAGGCCCTGCAACAGAAGATTAGCCAGAGCTTCGAGAAGCTCTGGTAAGGGAGAGACATGTCATTCTCACGCTCACCTGCGCTTGAAGGCGTATGTCTTAAACGTAGAATATTTGTACTGTGGGTTTGTACAGGCCGCCTTCTGTCCCTGCTGTGCCCATGGCAGAAACCACTAACTGATGGTAGCACTTCTTCCACTGCTTAGACATCGTCTCAGATGACTGCTCTAGGGAGCCATTGTCAATTGATTGGAAGCATGGGAAATGAAGCCCATTTGCCACCATCCCTGACTGAGTACCCTATTGTGAGTGTGTGTGAGCCTCTGTGAGTGTAACTAATATGTGTGCCCCCGTGGTTGTGTGTAAGCACATGAGTGCCATAATTTTGTCTGTGAGAAGCTTATCCAACTATGCTGGTCTTCGTCTCAGCTGCACTGGCAGCTCCA